TTTGGGTCCCTGACTAGTCTCCGCAGTTGATCCGGCATCAAGTTCACTGTTGTCCAGTGCAGACGGACAGAGTGATGTCTGTTAGGTACATCCCTGGTACACCTGATTGGGAAGACATATAAACATGATAGCCAAATGGAAAAATGCTGCTGTTTTAATTAACTAACCAGCACCCAATACACGAATGCAAAGCCTTGGAAAACTGTATTGGAGACCTGGACTTATCACAGAGGTTGACGTGGGGTTTCCTACTCCTCCTAAATATAAGTATTGGTACCCAGGCACTCAAAAGTGCCTGCAAGGTATGGGTATGACAGCCCCCAAAGCCGATGCCAGTTCCACCTATCTAGCCAGCAGCACTGTCGTAGGCAAAAGAAAGAGAAGGAAAGAGAATAGCCTCCAAAAGCCAGCCCTGCTTCCAGCATGGAGACCGGAAGCTGAGGACGCCTGCCACGCTGAGTGTGGGCGATCGAAGATGAGCAAAGGTGGACTATGCCTCAGCACTGACCTGCACCAGAGTGACCATGTCTGCAACTAAGACGTGATCCGAGACCATCGGCTCCCTCCAGTCAGAGCAGCCCGTCCTCCCCTGGGAGAGCGAGTCGATGGGTGAGAAAGGGCCTTCAAGGTTTAGCTGCAGCTCACTCCTTTGTAGGTCAGGGTGAGAATGTGGAGAGTGGAGGGGAAACTTCACTCTCCAAGGAGATTTTCATCCCTAGAGTTCTATCCAAATTTAGAGATGTTTGCAGACCTGAGGGGACTAGGACCAGCAATTCCAAATCCCCTTTGTAGCTAGTCAGGTTCTCCTAATGGGTGCTACACTAATGGAAATTAAGCCACTAATGAGTCCTCTGTGTGTCTGTGCATGTATGTGTTTGTTTTTCTTTTGTTCCAGAAAACCCACGAGAGTCATGTTTCGATCCTGGTTCGATCAAAAATGGCACACGAGTGGGATCTGACCTGAAGCTGGGCTCCTCCATCACCTACTACTGCCATGGGGGCTATGAAATTGAGGGCTTCTCGACCCTGAGCTGCATCCTGGGGCCCGATGGGAAGCCTGTGTGGAACAATCCCCGGCCAGCGTGCACAGGTGGTGGAGCTGGGGGCTGGGGGGAGAGTCAGAGGGAGTAGGGTATGCCAGAGGCAGAAGGGGCTGTGGGCTCGAGGGAGGCGATGGTAGGACACGATTCTCAGAGGTGCGCTCCTGTGTTCACTGTGAATGAGAACGGCTGATAACTCAGCAGGTGTACCAGTCCCTGTCGATGTATCATCTCTCATCACATATGTCTTCAACAATGGCCCGCAGACATGCCAGCAGCTCATACCAGGGAGAAGGGAGTTAAAGATGACCTGGCTTGTTCCTGGGCCTAAGGAAGATCGCTGATAGGTCAGATGTGTAAAACTAAGGCTAGCGGGTGGGCTGAATACAGGGGGTCTGGGTTAGCCATCCAGTCCTGACAAGCAGATTCAAGAGCATGGTGGCCACCTAAGTTGGAAAACAAGGAGGCGCCTTTGCCCAGGTGAAAGAATCTGGCTCTGAAGTCCACCCATTGTGGAACTGGGCACCATGGATGGGAACAGAAGGTGGCTGGGTCACATGGGCTGGCCTCTGCCAGTGGGGCTAATCTGGAGAAGCTTCAGCTCTCTACTGATGCAGACAGTAACTACCCAGATGCAGACATCAGCCATGGGGGCAGCAGATCAGTTCTGGTTCTATTTGTAAGCAGAAGAGGTTCCTAAAATGCTCCTCAAGGCTATGCCTACAAGGACCACGCCAGCGTTAATAGTTAGAAAGCTAGGGCCGACATGTGCCCAAGAGGGTCCTCGATAGCATCAGGGTGGGTTTCAGGCCATGTGCCATGTCACGGATGGATGTTGTTCGGCAGAGCAGGGCAGTGTCCTCAGAATTCCCCTCCTTCAGATTAGTGTCTGTGCGCCTCACGGCAGGTCCCTACCAGGTCCCTACCTGGGATTGAGCAGAACAGAGAATGAAGAGGCAATGAGAGGCCCACAGGGTCACCTGGCCCTCCATCTGATTTCTCTTTCAGCCCCCTGTGGGGGACAGTATGTGGGTTCAGACGGAGTGGTCTTGTCCCCGAACTACCCCCAGAACTACAGCAGTGGACAGATCTGTCTGTATTTTGTCACCGTGCCCAAGGATTATGGTATGAAGTTTTTTGTATGTTTATTTATATGTTTTCTGACTCCTTCCAACTCCTCAGGCCCTTCTCAATGGTATCTTTTCAATTGCACTCCCAATTTTATCCACTCCCATTGTGGGACTGGGCAGAACAGTCTCCCATATAGGACAACTGAGTGCAGATGCCATGAAGTGGGCTGTAGAATACACTCCTGACACATGAAAGAGGAAGGGCACAGTTAGCTGGGACCAAGGGGATGGGATTAATGAGGAGCTAGCCGGGACTGAGGGAAGGCAGGGGACACCGGGCTACCCAGCATAGCCCAAGACTGAGTAGAGGTGCTACAGAGCCAGGCTGATTGGGACCCCAGGGGTGGCTGGCCAATGGAAAGGAAGAAGTGAGGAGCTGGATGGAACTAGGTGAGGGAGCTGGGAGCCACATCATTTGCTATTTCATCTGAGACCAAGAGCCTGAAGGATGAGCAAGAAAAAAATAAGGAGCAGGCCCGTGCCCCGAGAAGACAGAGAAACCGCCAGATGCCAAGAATCCAAGGTAGAAGGAAGCCAGGCTTGTCACCTGGTTGGCAGTGGGGACAGTCAAGAGTCCCGCCAGCTCTGGAAGATTCAGGATGTTCCTGAGGATTCAGGAAGGCCATTTGTACCTGGGCAATCAGGTCACCAGCCTGGCTGCTTTTTCCCTGGATCTCCTCTTTATAGGATTAAGAACTATTTCCAAACACTCTTCGTGTTGGATAGGGCAAAAGGCATAGATGTATCCTGACCATTTAGGAGAAGGATGGGGCAGCCCTCAAAGAGCTGGCTGCTTATTCCCAGGAGATAGGATGGAGTGAGCACAGAGCAAGGCGGGATGTCATTCACCAAATATTTATTAAACATTTTTCATGGACTACGCACTCTCCTGGGTACTGAGGTTGCCAAGATGAGAGAGACCTCTTCCCTGCCCTCTGTAAACTCCCAGTCTTATCTTCACCCATAGCTCCAGCCATCATGCCTCTCCTGCCCCAGCCCCTCCCTGCAAACATGTGCATGTGCACACACTCCATAACATATTTAAGTGGCAGGAGCTTTTGACCTGTGGGATCACAAGTCCTGAAAGGTTGTCCAATCCAATCAGCCACCCAGAGCAGAAGCCTTGATAAGTGGGCTTGCAGTTTGTGCTCAAATTCCTCCAGTAATAAAAAGCTCACACCTTTGCAAGCAGCGAATGCAGTGAACGCCAAGGCTAGTCAGTTTCACTGAGCTCAAATCTGCATATGGAAATCTAGTTGTAGGAAGGGTGATGGCCTATCCTAAGCATCTTCCATTTGCCAATGATACTGAGCCCAGAGCATAGAGGCAGATTGTTCCTCTGAGTCTGGAATGTTTGTCCCCCGGCCTAGGTCTCAACTCTAATATCCTCTTCTCATAGATTTTTCTTTGATTCTCTATCTAGAGTGTCTGCCTCGTCCTATAGCTTTTACCTATTACACTTAAAACTTAACATTATCTGAAATTATCTTGTTCATCTATTTGCTTAAGTGTTTTGTTTTTCTGTTTTGATTGTGTCTTCTCATAGAATGTACACTCCGTGAAAGCAGGAACTTTGCCTGTCCTGCTCACCTCTGCAGGGGAGAGCACCACCTCCCCTGCCACCACCCCAAACTCAGTACCCATTTTCAGGGCACCAAAATGTACCCTTCCTCCTGCTCCTCTGTCTATAACTTGAGATCTAAGAATCACTTACTCCATTCACTGCTGTACTCATCATTACAAATGCTCTTTTCTCAGCAGTCAGCTGCATGGCCTAAATCCATCCCTGCCCCAACACGTAACACACACACATGCTCAATTTCCTACCTGCCTCAAGACTTAAGCCAGATAGTAGGTCAACCCTGGTTCTTGCCCTCAGACACCCCTGGCCAATTGGCTGGATCTTTGAGGGAAACATAAGGAAGAACACAAGGTCCTGAGATCACATGGAAAATGGTAGCTATTACCCAAAGCCCTTCCATGTCCTTAGTGGCTACTGCAGCTGCAGCTGCTATCTGGGAAAGGAATAAAATCAACTCGGTGCTATTGCCACCAGCCTGACGATTGGGTACAGTCCTTGATGTCATCTTGACCCATGTGAAAGAATGCCAGCCCGTCTCCCTGCATCCCTGTGCCTGGCATCTGGCCAGTAAAGGCTCAGCAAGCAGTTAGCCCCATGAACCAGCAACTTCTTCTGAGGTTTCACACTCCCTGGGGCCCCCGGACCGCCAGTCCTTGCCCCCAGCATGACTGCCGCTGTTCCACACTGAAATCTCCTCACCGTGTCTCCACTGCAGTTGTGTTTGGACAGTTCGCCTTCTTCCACACAGCCCTCAACGACGTCGTGGAGGTGCACGATGGTCACAGCCAGCACTCCCGTCTCCTCAGCTCCCTGTCCGGCACCCACACAGGTACCCAGGGCTCGGCCAGCACTGGGGATGGTCGGGGGCTGGGGTATCCCAGGCCAGCTAAAAGGAAAGAGGCCCTATAAGCATGGCTGCAGGTGGAACCCCACAGCTTTGTGTTTGTCATGTGCCGGTGCTGTCTCTGCCACAACAGTCAGCTCCTGATCGCCATACCTAGAAGAGGGCTTCAGAAACTGCTCTCGCCCCAAGCTGTGTCTACACCATCCCTAAGGGGTGTAGCATTCCCTGTTGTTTTATATTTAGCCCCAACATATTTTTCTAGTTATAAACATATTGTATTTTCTTTGTGGAACACTTAGAGGCAAGAAAAAACTAATTATAGAGAGAATTAAAATAAAAACCACCCAGAAAGAACTACTGAAAAGATGGGGCGTATTTCCTTTCCGTCTTTATATCTTACTTAGGCTTAATCTTTTACATATTTTATTGAACAAAGCAATATACATATTTTTACTGAAATATTCATTGTAAGCGTTTCTATGTCATTATTTTATTCTATAATAGGATTTTTAAATGCTGCATGATAGTCTATCATATAGTTATTTAAAATTTATGTAATGAATTCCCTATTATTGAACATTTAGATTTTTCTAATTTTTCATTCTTATGAATAGTAATTCAGGGTATTATACATGTCATTATACACGTCTCTATTACCTTAGAATATCTGGAAGGAGAATTGCCAGTTAAAGGATGAGATCCTTAATTCTTTTTATATAGATTGTCTAATATGCCTCTAGAAAGTTCTTGCCATTTTATTCACCAACAATGCATAAGAAAGAATGTTTTATCCTCGCAAAAATTAGATAATTAAAAAAACAAAAGCGTTATCAGTGTGAAAACTGAAAATGGTATCTCATATTTTAATTTGCCCTTCTTTATTACTAGTCAGGTTAAACTTTTTCTAATGTAATTATTGGCCCATGCATTTTTTTATTTGTGAATCTACTTGTGAATTAGTGTTGGTTTTTCTATTAGCATTTATTTTCTTATTTATTTAGTAGAGCTTTATATTATAAGCTATATATATTATATGCTATAAAAATCTCTTCTCTGTATTATAAGCTATAAAAAGGCTTCCCCTGTAGTTTGTCATTTGCCACTTAATTTTCTTCAGGGTTTGTTTTAATGTCAAAAAATTTAAATTCCCCATGATATCAAATCTATCAAGGTTTTCTCTAATAGTTTTCTCCTTTACTTTTATGTTCATGAAATAAATATTCCTCTGTGTTTTCTTTTACTTCTTTTTAGTTTCAATGCTTTAATAACTTTGAAATTTATTTTGATTTATTATTTGATATAGGCAATACAACCATATCCTTTCAAATTTAATCAGCTGTCCTAACAGAATTTTCAAAATGTCAGATTTACATATTTTAAATTTTTATGAAATTAAGGGTATGTTTCTAGACTTTTTATTCATTTTCTCTAAGTGTCTGTTTATTCTTATATTAGTATCAAAAAACTTTAATTATTGTAACATAATAATGTTTAATATTATAATAATTTTAAACATGCAGTAAGGTAGGTCCTCATAGACATTGTTTGTTTTGAAATTTTTGTGGGCTTTTCTTGCTTACTTTTGCCTCCAAATAAATTTTACAAATATGTTGCCAAGTTAAAAAAAATTGCATTGGAATTTTCATTGAAATCTATTAAACCGATAAGTTAACTAGGGAAGAAGTCACATCTTTATAATAACTCTTCTCCCCATTCAGGAACATGGTGTGTCTCTCCATTTATTTATCATTTATGACCTTTGAGAAGGTGCTATAATTTTCATTTAAACAGTATGCATGCTTTGTTAACTTTATTCCTAGATATTTCATGGCAATTTTTGTTATTGTTTTTTTGCTGCTGTAAATGGGTCTCCCTGTGTTATATTTTCTAACTGGTCTTTGTCAGTATATTAGAAGACTGATATTTTTAGGATATTCTTTTTGTAAAGTCACTGAACCCTTTATCATAACGCCAACACTGCCAGCTGATTCTCCAGTGTCCTTTAGGCAAGAAACGATATCATCTGCAGATAAATTTGTCTCATTATTTTATCTCTTCCTTTTCAGTGGTTTTTCTGTTATTTTCTTCCACAGTTATTGGTTTGTTTGGGTATATTACTTTATGATCAATGCTGATGATTTATATTTTAGTAAAAATTCCATTTTGTAATTATTTTAGCAATGCAGCTTATATAATATACTACTATGATATTTAATCTCCTCTCTATTAGTGTTTAGATTCCTTGCCTTTAAAATGCTGAAGTTCTCCTTTTTTCTCAGCTGGACCAGAGGTTTCGAGTTGTTTTTTTGTTTGTTTTATTTTTATTGTTTCTACTTATCAGTTCTTCTTTTGGGTTTGTTATTATTTTCTAATTAATTAACCTCTGCCTTTATTTCATAATGTCTCTCCCCCTTTTTTTCTTCAGATTATTTTGTTCTTGATGTTCTATCACCTTGAGCTGAGAGCTTTGCCCATTATCTTTTCTGTGTAGCAAAGGGCATGTTTATGGTGACATATTCACCTCTAAGCATAATTTTGGCTTCAAGTCATAAATTTTGATATGTATTATTTTCATCATTATTACCCTCTAAATAATCCATGATCAAGTTTTACTCTTTTTCCCCAAGAGTTGTGTAAGAATGGTTCTTCGTTCCCCCTAGGAACCTAGATTTTGTTCCTGTTACATTTGCATTAATTTCTATCATTATCGCCATGTAGTTAGAGAATGTAGCCTGTACCATTCTACTTTGGGGATTCAATGAGGTCCTCTCTGTAGCCAAGGATTTATATTTTTTTAATGTATCTGAGAAGAATGTGGATTCTCTGTAGGGTCGAGAAGCCATGCAGAGAGAAAGGGCAAGCTCAGGCCCTACATTCCTCTCTGCCTGGATTCTAACCGAAGCCCTGCCACTTGTTTGCTGGGTGCCTGCGGGCACAACATTTGACTACTTGGAGCTTCAGTTTCCTCATCTATAAAATGCAGAGAGTAAAAGTTCTACCTCCTAGAGTTATTGTTCGGATTAAATGAGCTTTGTAATATCCATTAGATAGTCATACTCAATTTTATTATTCAAATGCATTATATCAGTGGTTCTTAGACAAAAGATTTTCCTACACCACCACCCCACATATACACACCCAACTGGGAGTGTAAATTGGGATCTCTTGGGGTGGGATGCTTTTTCAAAATTTCTTGATAGATGGATAGGTAGATATAGAGATAGATAGATGATAGATAGATGATGATGATAATGATGATGATGATGATGAAGAAGATAGATAGATAGATAGATAAGCAAATATAGATATAAATATAGAAGTATAAGTGTAGGTACAGATAGAAATAGACAGGTATACACTTAGGACCTATAGATGAAAATATAGATATAGATATAGGTGCAGATACAAATGTATAAGACCAATAGAAAATAAAAAGAAATAGAGATGGAGACAGACAGACAGACAGAGACAGAGAGACAGAGAGACAAACCTTTGGTTGCCTGATGTATCTTTCCTCATTTTCTCTGAGAGTCTTTTTCTTTTAAGAGGAAGTTTACTTACTTATTTTACAAGTGACAAATCTGCTCTGCTATCTGTCATCTTGTTTTGTTCTTTCTGGGTTTTTGTTTGTTTTGCTTTGATTTCACCTCCTTGCTTTTCTATTCATACCTGACCCATCTCTAATTTCCAAGGTTTTTTTATATACTTGGAATTTTATAATAATGTCATTAGTAATTATTTTTAAATTAGGACTTCTTCCCCCCAAGAACATGTTTTTACGTTTGCATTAAGTTTTGTTACCTATTCACAATAATTACTTGGATTTAACATATTTTGCAGGTCGTCTTTATCCCTGATAGCTTTTTGTTTCCCTTTCATTCATTTCTTTAATAAGGCTCATAACTGCAGTACTTCCTGTCACCTTGCATGTATGAGAATGCATCTCCTTTGACGTGTCGTATAAATGACAACTTGATTGTAAATCAAATTATGGGTCACAAACTTTTTCTTTCAAAACTGCAGTAGCTTTTCCACCCCATTCCAACAGCTAATATTACAGATGAGTTAGAGTTCAATCTGATTCCTTATCTTGTAGGTAACCTATGGTTTTCTTTCTAAATGCCTTTTATATTTTTCTTAATTTTTAAAATTGAAAAGCCCACTAGGATGTGTTGTAGTGGAAATCTTTTTTTATTAATTAGATCTGGCACTTTACAAACAATTTCAGTCTGAACCTCACATCTTTCTTAAGTTTAGAAAAGTTATATTCTTCCTTAAATTATTTTTTCTCCTTCAGTTTTTCTCCTCTCTCTCTCTAGAATTTTTGATATATGCATATTGGATTTTTTTAAAATCTATCTGCCATGTCACTTGTCATTTCTCTCATTATTTTAATCTCTTTATCTTTTTTCTGTGCATTCTGGAAGAATTTCCCAAATTTAATCTCCATGTTGCTGTTTTATTTCTGCAGAATCCAGCTGTTATGTACTGATATTTCTCATTTCTTTGACGCCTTCATTAATCTCAGATTTTTTCTTTGGCATGTCTTCCTCCTCTGATCTCACAGGTGCAATGCTAGATTTAATCTTGTGACAATCATGACAGACAATCTTTCGAGATTTTTCCCGCTCTTTGTGGTAGTTCATATAAAATTTTTCCTTTGATTTCTCAGAGTGGTTTTCTCCTTTAAAAATTTAGAATCTTCTTATGTCCAATAATTTTACTATGCACTTAGCCATGGACAGGGAAGTCTTCATATGTCCAGGACAGGAATTCAAAAAAGGATTCTGCAAGATATTATGGGGGTCTTGATCCATGTGTCAGGCTAGATGATGGGATGATGAAAAAAATGAGTTTTGTTCTGCTCACATCCATTGAATAGAGGAGGTAAAGATGGTGACGATAATGAGGAGAGGCTTTGTCTTCATGAGTTTCTTTTTACTTTAGCAGTCAAGAGTTAGCTGGGGCGATGACTCCTAGCTAGGCTCAGCCGTCTAGGTCACATGTAAATCTAAGTGTGTTGTGCAAATGGCTGTCCACTCCCCATGGCCAATAGCATCATATGAGCTTCCTGGAAGCACTGGTGGGCCTCGATATGACTCTCAAAGGCTCCTTGGCTGATTCCAACTCCCGCTGTCACTGCAGTAGAGATGTCGCCTGGCTTTCTGGAACCCCTACTTCCCTTCTGATGGTGGAGCTAGCAGCCATTCTCAGGTGTCCCTAAGACTTCAAAGGAGAATCATGCAGACTGGCCACACCACTGCATGCCACCTCATATTCCCTCAGCTTCCACTGGAAGGTGATGATGAGCAGGACTACACTTCACAGCTGCAGGTCCAGTTCGTGCTGCCTTTACTCTTGTCCATCTATACCACATCAAGCAGAAGATACATGTTCTGATATAAAGGCTATCGGGCTCCCCAAGCTTTCTGTGCCTATTGGGTTTTCACCAAATTGTGTGTTATGGGTTGAGTGACAATATGTCCTGCTTTGCCTGGGGCAGTCCCAGCTTTCCCTTGGTTCTCCCAGTGTAATTATTAATAGCGTGCCCTTTTACTCTCAAAAGTACCCTGGTACGAGCAATAAATTATACGATCGCTCTGGTTACTGATCATTTCACTGAGAATCTGGGAAAGGCCAGTTACTCTCAAAAGATCACAGCACACTCCTTCCCAGAAGTTAGTGCCATTTTTCTTCTATCAGACTGATGACTGTTTTCTTAGCAAACCACCAGTCAGGTTGGTAATGGCCGTTTTCTCCATCCCTGTGAGTCACCACATCTTTAGAAGCTTTGTCTTCTTGAGGCAGGTCATTTAATCATTCTGGACCTCTCTTTCTTGATCTATGAACTGGGGGTACTGAACTCTTGTCATGCCAACCTCCCATTACCCATGAATCAAAATAAGACCATGGATGTGAAAGCCTTCTGCAAACTTTAAACTGAAAAGTACAATAAAAACGTGAGGTTTCATTTTAGGAAAACCAGGGGTGTGGAAGGAATTGCTATGAAGGGTGTGGGTAGCCCTTCCTTCTTGGCCAGGATTTGATCTGCTGGGCCTGACTGCTGGACTCACTGTCTCCCTTTCTTCCTTGCCTCTCATCTCGGCAGGAGAATCGTTGCCCTTGGCCACCTCTAATCAAGTTCTCATTAAGTTCAGTGCCAAAGGCCAGGCGCCAGCCAAAGGCTTCCACTTTGTCTACCAAGGTATGTAGGACGTGGACTTGGGTGGGGTGAAAGCAGTCTCAGTTCTTCCGTGACTCAGTGACCGAAAGAACAGCAACCTTTGCCCCCTAGTCTAAGCCTTATTCTTAGGGTCTTTAGGGCAGTTATTAGTTTGTGGGGCAGTTCCTTGAAGTTAGTTGAATTTTATACATTCATTTACTCAACAGACAATTCTTGGGCCAAACTCCATGTTCGAATGAGGGGGGAAATCAGACATGGGAAGCTAATCTAACCCCCTCTACACACACACACACACACACACACATTGTCTGTTACATCCCCAGTGGCATTGGGGGTAGCCTAGACTCTCTCCCATGGAGCTTGCTTTGTCCATGAGGCTCAGCAAAAACATAGGCTTGGGAATGAGGAGAACATGGATTTGAATCCCAGCTCTGCCACTTTCTAACTGAGCACCAGTTACCCCAACTCTCATCACCCCAGTTTGCTCACCTATAAAATAAGTAATGATATTACTTCATCGATAGGATTAAAAGAGAGTTCGCAAAATAGGTAGCACCAAGCAGATCATCAATGTTCATTTCTTCCTTACTGGTCCTAAGAGGCAGAGTCTCGGAGCATCCTGTCTTTCGCCTGCAGGTCCCAACGTTTCCTTGCCCAGGAGAATGTCCATTTTGCTAGGACCCATTCTAAGTGTGGTCCTATTCATTCAACCACCCAGGATGAGTTGTGTTTCCCTGTACAGGGTAATCCTGCCACAGAGGACGCCATGTCTGAGACCTGGATTAAAGGGTCCTATTTAATGTTGTAGGTAGAGGGAGAGGAGGTTTAGGTGATGGAGAGCAGTGCCCTGGGCAGGGTCTTAAGGCACGTGGGAGAAGAGGCCAAAAGCAGGGTGAAGGCACTGAAGTGGAAGAGGAAGGACCATTCTCCCTGTTAAGGGACGTGGGACCCTGACGGGTGAGGGGCATTATTAGGAAGGCAAAGAACACAGCTGGGCCTGAATTCTGAGCCCAGGGGCTCACGCTGCCACCCAGGGTTTCCGGAGGCTGCAATATTGTGTGTCCAGCTCTATTTCAGTACAACAGGCACTACCTAGAAAGACCCCTACCTTTGCCTTAAAGGAAAGTGCCCAGAACCTCTCAGGGTCCCATCCAGACCATCTCAGTTCCATTCTGTGTGTGTCCATCCCTGGGCCAGTTTCTAGAGGGGAGAGGCCTGCCCCTTAGCACCCTTGTCCCCTGCAGCGGTGCCTCGAACCAGCGCCACGCAGTGCAGCTCCGTGCCGGAACCGCGCTATGGCAAGAGGCTGGGCAGTGACTTCTCTGTGGGAGCCATCGTCCGCTTCGAATGCAACTCCGGCTATGCCCTGCAGGGGTCCCCAGAAATCGAGTGCCTCCCTGTTCCCGGGGCCTTGGCCCAGTGGAATGTCTCAGCACCAACATGTGTGGGTGAGTACCTGCACAACCAGCACTTGGGAAGGGGGTGGCCAGCAAACAGTCCTTTCTCCCTGGGGGAGGCTACAAGATCCGGCAGCTGCGGGTTGGATGTGAAGACAGCCAGGAGGAGGAGCTGGGGTTGCTGGGCATTGGGAGGCGAGGTCCATGTGTGAGAGAGGAGTATGGGTCCAGGTCCCCAAGGAGGGGGCAGGGAGAGAAGTCGTGGGAGAAGGTGGGACTGAGGCCGTACTGGAGAAACCAGCAGGGGGAGGAGTCACAAGCAGGCTAGTGAGCCCTGAGAAGTCTGTTTGGGAAGGTTCCCTTGGAGGGGGGACCCACGAAGACAGGCGGAAAGAGCCTCTAACCGGAGCTACCTCCTCCCAGTGCCGTGCGGGGGCAACCTCACGGAGCGCAGGGGCACCATCTTGTCCCCTGGCTTCCCTGAGCCCTACCTCAACAGCCTCAACTGCGTGTGGAAGATCATGGTCCCTGAAGGTGCTGGCATCCAGGTAGGCCCAAGGGTCACCTGGGTCGGGCAGGTGGCTGGGAGGAGATGTAGCCCTATCCCTGCCCTTCGGGCCAGGTGTGGAGGAGAGCCCCACAGACAAGAAAACACAACAGCCTGTGGCCCTGAGCTTCAGGGGACACCGGGAGAGAGGTAACTCAGGGAGGAGGAGGGGTGCGCCCTGCTCAGGCCATCGGGGAAGGCCATAAGGAGGAAGTGGGCCTAGAGCTGGAATACAAAGACTGGGGAGGATTCATAGGAGATGTTTCTCAAATGGCTCATAGGGTTTTTTTCTTAAGACTGTAGGGGACAAAAGAGGGGACATTGCAGGTAAGGGGAAGGAGCAAACTGACAAGCACAGATGAAGCATGGAGAAAGCACACAGCTAGGGTGTCATACCTGCAACCTGAATCATAGGGACAGAATTAGGGCCATAGCAGATGCCCAGTGCTCAGAGCCAAGTGTAGGAGGCCCCAGAACTGGTGTGGTGGCATGGAAGAGGCCAACAGAGGGGCAGCAAGCAGCGACTTGAGGTGAACGGGTCCAGCCTGCAGTGGGTTACTGCGGACTGTCTGATGCAGTCCAGACAGGAAAATGGGGAAATCCGAGAAATATTTGAGAGACACACAGAAAGCCGATCAGGCTGAAGTATTCCCACTTCCTGGAATTTCCTTTCCCCGTTCACAGCCTTATAATCATTCATTATTTCACTTCCGTCTCCCCCATGGACAGAGTTCCTCAGGGGTAGAGATTGCATCTCACTCTTATTGGAAGGATCTAACACAGCGTCAGGCCTAGAGTAGTTGCTCAATAATTGAATTAATTACATGAAAGAGGGAGGGAGGGGCGCAGGCTGTCGAACCAACAACTCATTCCCTCTGCTTTCCCAGATTCAAGTCATCAGTTTCGTCACAGAGCAGAACTGGGACTCCCTGGAAGTGTTTGACGGCGCAGACAACACTGTGACCATGCTGGGAAGTTTCTCAGGTGAGGTGGAGCTTCCAAGGGCCTCGACTTGGAGGGCGGTAGGTGACTTTATCATTAGGAGGAGCAACATTAGTATGGAGATATAATTCACATACCTATAAAATTCACCATTTTAAGGCATAAAATCCAGTGGGTTTTAGTATATTCACAAAGTTCTACAACCATCACTGCTGTCTAATCCCAGAACATTTTCATCACCCCAAAAAGAAGCCAGGTACCCATCTGCACCCATTCCCCATCGCCCCCCACCCCGTCTCCTGGCAACCACTAACCTACTTTCCTTCTCTGTGGATTCGCTTGTTCCGGACATTTCATAGAAATGGAATCCTACAATCTGTGCCCTTTTGTGTCTGTCTTCTTTCACTCGACAGATTGTTTTCAAGTGTCATTAATTGTAACGTATATTAGTACTTTATCGGATAGATAGACCCCATTTGTTTATTCACTCATTAGTTGGTGAACATTTGGATGTTTCCACTTTTTGTCTAATTATAAATAATGCCGCTATGAATATTCACATGCAAGTTTCTATGGGGACATGTGTTTTCACTTCTCTTGGGTATATACCTAGGAGTGGAATTCCTGGGCATATGGTAACTCTATATTTACCTTTTCTGAGGAACTGACAAACTTTTTTCCAAAATAACTATACCATTTTCCCTTCTGGTGGTGGATTTCTGACTGAGTGTGGTGTATGTTTTTGCCTAATGACCAGGTCAATTATTTGGATCTTCCAGGCCCCAGAACCCATTTTGCCAAGATATAAAAAGGAGTCACATGCCCCATATAAAAAGTCTACATTGCCTAGATTGCCCAGATAACGACACACATCAGAGTTATATTGAGGATGGCCAAAAGGGGACCAAACTCGTAGGCCACCTGAGGAACCCTACTCCTGGCATGAGGCTCTGCCACTGCCCATTTTGCAGGAAGTTGTTTGAGGTCTTCCCCGCCCCCTCCCTTGGACATGAGAGACCCAGCACTCTGAGGGGTGCTAATTTGTCATTTAGCAAGCGTGACAATTGGGAACATTTGGGGGCTTTGGGAGCAGAACGCCAGCAGGCAGCAAAAGCAAGTGGAAGAGGGAGGAGCTCGGGAGCAGGGGAGGCTAAGCCTGAATGTCCCCTGTCTCTTGCCCTAGGAACAACTGTGCCCGCCCTTCTGAACAGCACCTCCAACCAGCTCTACCTTCATTTCTACTCAGATATCAGCGTGTCGGCAGCTGGCTTCCACTTGGAGTACAAAAGTGAGAATCCAGAGTCTCAGCTGTGTATAGGGTTCAGGGTGGGAACTGACAAGTACTGAGTACCCACAAGGAGTAGGGGTCATACTAGGACTGTATTTTCTCCATCCCACTGGAGCCTTATCACAGACCTAGATGAGGACACTAAAGCTCAGAGAAGGTCCGAAACCTCCTCAAGGCTACACAGCCAGTAAATGGTGGAGATGGGATTCTCACCCAGATGTCAGTTACTCAGAAATCTTTATGCTTTCTCTGTGTCCACACCAGGAATGGGAAAGGGGCTTGCCCATTGGCTTACGCCCAGCATATAATTTGAGATATAAGAACATAGAGGTGTTCTCCAATCTTAAAAACTAGCCTCTCCAACCCCTGGTTCCGTGACACAATTATCTTTGGAAATGTGGGAAGGCATGATTTGCTTGACCATCTGTGACAGCATGGGCCTGTGCAGATGGAAGCCTCACTTGGTAATAGAAACTTAATAGGGTCAGCATTGGATGTTATGCAGATGCCCAGCTGGTCTCCAAAACGAATGAGCCTTATCCAGGTGAATGGGAGAGGATTACTCAGATACCAGGATGCTCGTGGCCTGAAAGAACTGAAGAGTCTGCCTAGTAGGAGAGACCTGGAACAGCTTGAAGCCGATACCCTGAAGGGTAGAGAATAGGACAGGGACCTCTGAGGCCTTCCGCTGTAGACCTCGAAGGCTCTACTCAGCGGGTGGAGTGAGGCATCCCGGGTCTCTTGAGAAATTCACATGTTTTCTTTTACTCTCTTTTCTCTGTTCTTCCCAGTTTTGTGTCCTTCTCCAATATTTTAATTCAAGTCCTTAAATGTTTCTTAGAGTCTTCTCTTTATTTTCTTCTTCCAAAGATATACTTCCTTCTTAAATCTCTTTGTCATTCTACTGCCTCATTCCCAGGAAAAATTCACCTCTTCTCTTTGTTGTAGAGAACTGGTAGTTTTCTAATACCTGATATTTATCATGCACTGTCCTTTTATGATGGGGAAAACAGAGGTCTTCATTAGTATTTGGGGACTGAAATTCCAAGGAGCCAAGACCCAGTAGTTATATTTTTGTTTTGTGGACAATCTACGAAGAGGTGCAGAAGGGGAGAATTAATTGCTATTGTAGAGGCAAATGGTTTTGAAGGGTACTGAAAAGTCATATCTACTGCTATGACTCATACTTAATGTTTATTTAATTGAAATGGAAATGGAACAATATGCTTTCAAAAGTAATAAATTGCATATGATAAAAAAATAATTCTTCCTTTGTTGCGAGCATAGCTTAAATAAAATCAAGCTGTGCAATGAAAGAGAAATTGGAATGATTTTCTTAGTCTCCCTCTTTCCTTCTCTCTCTGGGCTCACTTTTCTCCCCATTCCATTTTTTCTCCCACCATACTCTTTTGCTCTGGCTTTCTCTCTACCTCTCCTCCGTTTGTCCATCACTGACTTTCCAGTAAGTAGGTCTCAGGTTACTAAGTTATGATCACCCCACTAAATACTGAGTTATATTCTGCTTGGTGTACCGTGAGGAGTGGGGAGAAATAAACAATATGACAGCCAAGATGAAATACTTCGAATTCAGTTTAATGATTGTTTTAATTCTGTCTTTAAGGTCTTTTGTTCCAGCTGCTCAGATCTGTGGACATAGGCCCAAACAGCCTTCATTCCCAAGCCTCACACTCGCTTCTTAAAAGCACATGTAGAACAGGAGTTGTCTGAGAAGAGCATGAGGGAACTTTCTAGAGTGGTAGTAATGTTGTGTAGTTAGGGGTTTGGGTTATACGGGTGCCTGCATTTGTCAAAACTTAGCCGATGTACACTTAGGATTTGTACGTTTTGTTATATATAAATTTCTCTCCAAAGCAGGGAACAAAACACATATGGTTATCTCATGCACATGTAGAATTTCAGCTCTGAATATGGAATGAAGATTCATCAGCTACTGCACAAGGAGATGGGGCTGGGTATCCTAGGCTGGCCAGTTCTTCCCATTCCTTTTCCACAAGAGCCTGGCTTCCTGCAGGCACTGAATACACTGGATTCCTCGAGGGATCTGGGATCTACCAGAAGTTATCTAACAGGAGTGCTGATAGATAGGGCGCTCTCTCCCAAACTTTCTGGCCATGCAGGTGCCCAGGGTCAGACCCAACCACAAAGTCTCTTAGCCCAAACAGGTAAAAGAATAGTGCTTTGAAGGAGGCAGAGAACTCAGTTGACAGCTATCACTTTGCCTTGTCGTGATTCTTCCGGCCCTCGTCCGTAAGAGGCACACTCCAAGTCCCATCCATCAATAAATACACAGGGACTTACTTCATGCATCTTAAGTGCCCTCGCTTGCAGATGGGCTCTTGTGGGGCAAAAGAGATGTGTAAAGCCCACCAGTCAGGAGATGCTACACTCCTATTTGCTGTAAGAGTCAGCCAGGCAGGGATTCAAAGAGGATGAGAATGATTTCAGGAGAGGAGGCAGAGAGAGCAGGGCTGGGGTCGGACGTGAGCTCATGTGGCCCTGGGGGTTTGACCAACTCTATTTGGGCAGGCCTGGAGTCAAACTGTGTTTGACTTGCATCCCAACTCTGTGGCTTACTAAGGGCATGTCTCTGGGCCTCTTAGCCTGCATCTTCACTCTACTTGGGCAGGCCTGGAGTCAAACTGGGTTTGACTTGCATCCCAACTCTGTGGCTTACTACGGGCATGTCTCTGGGCCTCTTAGCCTGCATCTTCACCTGTGACATGGGGTGTTAAGACCTGTTTCAAGGGAATGAGATGATGTGTGTGACACTCACTCTAGCCTTGCTGATGGGAAGTGCTCAGTGAGTATTGCTCCAGTGATGATGGTGTGGGCAGACAGAGAGAGGAAGTAGGGAAGGAAGATTAAGATGGATGTCCTAGCAAAGCACTGTGTACAATGCTGGGTATATAAAGAGGAGTAAATGAACACAGATTGAATTTGAAAAGTCAAGAAAGGAGAGTGAAGGAAGACCACCTGAGATCCCATAGGGCGATCTTGAAAAGGACCAGGCCAAGACCATGACGGTCCTATATATAATGTCAGGATGATAAGGTGAGTCTCCATATAATAGGTGATAGGGACCCACCACTTTGAATGGCTGAGCAAGGAAACTCCGTGATTTACAGAGAAAATTTAAGGACATAAATTGCCCATGAGTGCAGGATGGATGGGGATAGGGAACAAGAGAGAAGCTATTGTGATTCCAGCGGTGAGTGAGGGCCAGAGCTGGCCATAGGAGGCAAAGTGTGAGGAGCCCCGGCACTGCTTCCAGAGAGAAGCTGCCCTGACCTTGAAAACACAATGGGAGAAAGAAGGCAGTGGAGGGTCTCATCTCAGAGAGTGGGACTCTCTGAGCCCCCAAGCATCGCTGGGATGTCCCTCCGATAACTGCTCTCCTTCCTTCTTGCCCTTCATTCGCCTCTCTCCTAATTTCTTAGCCCTTGGGAAATGTCTTCTTAGGGCAAGGAAAATGGAAAGAAGTTGGGAGTCGGAGGCGGGAATCATATGGGAGCTGCTCATACAGAGGGATCTGGGGGCTTAGAGCCAGGGCTGGAGCAGCAACCTAGCTCTGCTGCCCCAAAGGCCTTCTGGGGAGCCCAGGGGGCAGGCAGCAGCCAGAGTTCTCAGATGATACCCACCTGCCCCCAAGGAGCTTTGGTCTGTGGAACCTCAGTGCCATATAAATATTCTAATTTTTTCTGTGCACTGTGAGGTAAAGGGGTTGGGAAGAGCTAGCCTAGATGCCAAGAGCAGAGAAAGCCCAATTTGGAGACACCTTTCTCCCTGCTGCCAACATTGCCCTCAGCCTACAGTTATATTTACCTGCTGGGCTGGTCCGTTCTCCTTTCCATCTGTCTCTGTCTTGTCTAGCTGTGGGCCTGAGCAGTTGTCCAGAACCTGCCGTGCCGAGTAATGGGGTGAAGACTGGCGAGCGCTACTTGGTGAATGACGTGGTCTCTTTCCAGTGCGAGCCTGGATACGCCCTCCAGGTACCTCCTCTTGACACCCAAGAAACAGGCGTCCCCTGAGATGTGCTTGGCCAGCCTTGCAGCAGCAGAGCTACAGTCACCAAAGAGCAGTGACAGTCCCCCAATACCCCTGAGGACCATTTTCTCCGCCTGGAGCTGTTTATGCAAAAGATAAACTTTGCTGACTTAGTGATTTGGCATAAGCCAGCCTCCAATGTGCTCCTGCAAAGTTTTGATTTGATTAGACTTTAGGAAAATTTAATTTTCCTTTGAAGCCCATGAGGGAATCTAGCAATTAAAAGAAGCTCACAAGGAAGCTTAAGTAATGAGACTTCTATAGTAATGGCTGTTATAAGCATCCTTCCCAAAAACCTCTCTCCTTCTGCCTCACTCCCCATCCCACAGTGGATTAATGTATCTTGTTGCCTAACACAAAGCCCCTGAACGAGCTCTCCTACATACGATTGTGCCCGTGTGGGCCGCTAGCCCACCCATGTTCCCGATTCCTCCAGGGCCACGCCCACATCTCCTGCATGCCCGGGACCGTGCGGCGCTGGAACTACCCGCCTCCGCTCTGTATCGGTAAGAGAGCCCAGACTTTTCCAGTTCATTCAGAATTTACATACCAAGTTTTGCCCATGTGTGCAGTTTTTTTAAGGAAATGAAGTATAAGTTTTCTACCAGGGATTTACGCTCACTAACATATCATGTAGTTCAAATCAACAGACAATTTGGTATCCTGGGTGTGTTCACAGGCAATAGCTTTAGGCTTAATGTTTTCGTAAACCCTCACTCGAGGCTTTAATGACTTTTGGAAACCTTCGCCCACCAAATGGAAAATGACAGGAGGAGCCTTGCCCATTTGAAAAGGTGATGATGACCATTCTCATTCCAAGTAATTGGCCAAATGGACCTTCTAGGCACTTCGGACTTTCCCCTACGACTTTTCCTGGGACCGACAGATAAAATCTACTAAGAAGGAAACACCGAGGGTTACGTGTGAAATGAGAACTGAGCTTGGTTTGGTCTCCTACCCTGTGCTAACCAATGATAAAGAGATCAACGGGTACAAGAAAATATGGGGTCTTCACCTTCAGAAACTTCTAGTCAGGTCGGGGCAGGGGAAAACTAACAATAATTATTGAATGCCTATTATGTGCAAGGCACGGAACCATATGTTTCCTCAGAGGAGGTATCATGATCCTCATTTTTACAAGTAGGAAAACTAAGGCTTTTAGGGTTAAAAAGAAAGTGGTAAGGTCAGGAATGGATACTTAGGTTTCTCTGATGCCTGGGCCACTGTAAAGTACCCCTCAAGGCTGACCTTGAGATAGGGAGCAAAGTGAGTCGAAGGAGTGTCATGGGCTTAATGGCATTTTCCTTCTGTGATCTCACCAGGTACAGGGCCCAGTAGTCTGTTGAGCAGTCAAAAATGTGACTGGTCAGCCCAGGGCGCTTTCCTTCATTACATAATACAAAAGCCCTGCCAAGAAAACCACTCACGTTAACAGCAGCTGCCATTGGATGAGTGTGTACCTTGTTTGCCAGCCCCAGTTCCAAGTGAAGTGCGGTCCTTTCTGTTGTAACCTCATAACGACCCTGTGATATAGGTGCTGTTAGCTCCATTTCACAGTTGGAGGAAACTGAGGTGTGGAAGGGTTTCACACAGGAAGTGTGTCCCTCATGGTCAATGCTGGAGCTCCTCCTCTTAACCCAGGCACTGCCCTCTTCGGATCTAAACAGAATCTTCTCCCCAGAAAGCATTTGCCTAGACACTGCAAATCCCTGCCCTCTGCTCCTTTCTCTGGGGTTCCATGCATGGCTAACCCCTTTCTGCTCACACAACTTTGTCCTAATAAGATGTGAAAGCAAAGTATTGATGTCAACTGTCCAGGCCATAGTCATGCTGCAGCTCTGCATCCTCTGATGACTCAGAAGTCACCTCCATTGGAGTTTCAGATGCCCAGCCCCTTGTGGCTGGCTCCTCGTGGAATGCTAATCACAGTCACTTTGGCCAAGGGCGTATGTCAAAGTTCTGAGGGCAGGTTCATCTATTGACCACCCAACCCCATGGAGTACAAATTTACAAAGGTCCTGGCATGGTGCCTAGCATAGCATAGGGAATCAATGCATGCCAGTCCTTTTCCTTGATCCTTTTTCTTCAGTCTTGGAAGAGCTGATTGGACAATGAGGAGAGGGAGATTTAAGGGATAAAGTAAGAAATGGCTGTACTTCTCGTGGAGCAGCCTTGTGCTGCGTGACCTCACTAAGAGAACTGAACTGCGAGGGGCATGCTCAAGGTCAAGAGTCCACAACTTGGGTTTGTGGACTACTCGATGGTCCTAGCATGGTGGGCAGTCCTTGCTGAACTTACATACCAAGTTTTGCCCGTGTGTGCAATTTTTTTAAGGAAATGAAGTATAAGTTTCTTTAGAAGGGGTTTCAAAGGGGTTTATGACTTGGGAAAGGTTAAAAACCGCTGCTCTAACGGAGCATCCAAATGCTGGCATGGCCCTGTACGCTCTTTAGTGCTACCCTAACCCTCTGGTCTCATTGTCACAGCACAGTGTGGGGGAGCAGTGGAAGAGATGGAGGGGGTGATCCTGAGCCCTGGCTTCCCAGGCAACTACCCCAGCAACATGGACTGCTCCTGGAAAATCGCACTGCCCGTAGGCTTCGGTGAGTCTTCACGCCCAGGTCTCTGGACTTAAAGCAACTGTCTGAAAAACCGTGGCTCAGGCAGTTTAGCTCTCTGCCTCTCTATTTCTTTATCTGTTGACCTCTTGTACAATCGTGGGTTCAGTTAAGAATGGGAGAGATGGAGGCTTTGAGAACATTAAGTGTGGGGCTGAGAGGGTTAGGAATTGCCATTGTTTTTACTATTTGAGTAGCAAGCTAAAATCCAGGACTGTGGAAGGAGAAATTACTTAGGGATGGTTAAAGAAAAGGAAAAAAGAAATCTATTTTACAGAGACTGGATCTTGAATTGTGCTTTTAACTAAATATCCAATTTCTCATCCTAATTAAATCGAGCCAAGGTCAACATGAAATTGAGTTTGCATTCTTCATAGGCACATTCCGGCTAGCCTTAGAGATCGGGAAGTGTTTTCTTGTGGAGATGGAGTATGCCACTGTGGAGGATGGTGATCTGGGTGCAAAATTTAATTGCCAATGATTTATCTATGGCGCACTCAGAATAAAATTTAACCCCAGATATCTCAGTTGAAGAGAAAAGGACTTGTGCTGACATGGAACTGATGGGCTTTGCACATAAGTCATTTTGCCCAAGTCACTGCTCTGTTCTTGGGAACAAAATGTCCCAAAGGGACCTTTCGTGCACCGGCCCATAATCTCCCAGTCTGTGACCTTGGGAATGAAGACCACCTATTTGGTCCTTTATTATTCAGCCTAGAGTGGGTCTTCTGATGGAGAAGGGACTTTCAGGAGAAAGTAATCTAAACTGGCCCTCTTTAAATCTGTTCCAAGGGGTGGAAAGAGGCCGGTGACCCTCCAAAGGATGGAGTCTTATATTTGATACCATTTTCTGAAGGAAATCAGGGACAGATGATCAGGGTGCAAAATGATGATGACGTCAGAAGCCTTGGGAAACTCCAGATGTTGAGACACGGAGGAAAGAGGAGCTAGGAGACCCTTTAGCTCTGCATCCATACATGGGCCAGAAGAACCTTAGATGATAGAGCGTTGATAAGGGAAAACAACATCCAACAGAAAAGGAAGTTTAAATGGGAGGCACATCCTTGTTCTCTCTAAGCCCTGAGGTTCAGCCACCAGAATGCTCTATCTCTAGGTCCTGAGTATCTGTTCTGCCCCTGGAGAATAAGCTTCCTGCAGGGTCCAATTGCAGAAGACCAGGATCCCTTGCTTTTAAATGAATGTTGAACTCTAACACAGTCCCTAACAGCATATAAAGAGCCACTACATTTACAAGCTACTGCCACTAGATGACAGTGATCACATCCAGTTCTTTCCAGGAGCTCAGTTCAGAAATCCTGCAGTCCTTTGATGGACATGCAGCCCACAACATTGGGATGATGCATGGGCAGTGGGGTGGAAAGCATAGGCTCCACACATGATATGTACAACAGCGCTCATTGCAAAATTATCCACAACTTGGAAACAATCTACATGTTCGTTAGTAGGGAAGTGAATAGTGTTGTTGGATAATTCATAAATTAGAATTAATTAATATGTCGTCAAAATCAATGAACTATGTCTTTGTATATCAACTTGGATAGACCTTGAAAAACACAATGTTGAATAAAAATTAGGTTTGTAAAACTGTAGGTAAAGCATATCATTTATGTAAATGTTTAAAACAAATAAACCCGAGTATTACTTAAGAATCTTAAAAGCGTTAACTGGAAGGATACCTTCTAAATTTATGATAGTGATTGCCTCTGTGGAAGGAAGTAGGGAATGGGATAAAGCAGGAGACATAAAGGGTATTTAACATTATATGTCAAGTCTTATTTTATTCTTTAAATAATCAGATGCAAAAAAAAATCACATATGTGAACTCACTCTAAGCAAATTGGAAAGTACAAATGAGCAAATTTTAAAAATTAAAATTATCTATAATCCCACCATGCAATCACTAACAGCTTAGTCCTCACCATGAAAAGGTAGCGAGGACCTTGTAGGTCTTTTTCATCCCTGTGCCATGCCTCGTACAGCCCTGATGCATGGCAAATGTTCAATAAATATTGTTAGCAAATCGATGAATATTTTTCTAGTTTTTAAATTCAAAAATGAGAATTATATTCAACCTACTATTATGCGATCAGATTTTCACAATTAACATTGTGGACATTTTCCTATGCTCAGTGAATATATTTTTTCCATATTATTTTTAATAGTAATCCAATTTTATGAAATCTTATCATAAACAAATATGAATATTCCCACCTCCATTCTCTAAAAAATAAATTAAGCCATTTAACCTGTCAGGTTGTTAGGAGATCTTGATTAATCCATTAAGATCTCAAAGTATAAACTTCCCTTGGCTTAATGAACAGATGGAACAACGTATTCTCCTAAGTTTTATATTCCTGAATTATCATAAGTGTTCTAGAAAATACCGGTTTGAAGTTCATGTCTTTCAGTTGGGTGTATGGGGGGGGATCTTATTTTTAAGTAAAAAGTTTATCGTAGCAAAGCTGTTTTTACACTGCTATGAAACATATGAATCACAAATTAAATCAAATGTCAGTCCTGAACTTTGTTTTCAATAAAATAAAATGGACTCGAGATGGAGCTCAGAAATGACAGCTGCCCTTCCTTTTGCGTGAATAACATACTTTTTAAGTTCAGTCCAGCCTGAAGACAAGAGACTGGGCTGGGCCGGCACCTCCTGCAGTCTGTCCTGGGAATCTTGATTGGCTAGGAAGTCAGTGGTAGGGACACGTGGGCTCGGGCAGGAAGCGCTTTCCCGCGGGGGCCCATTTGAAACAAGACTGTATGTATTGCTTTGGGCACTGCCTGTCTCTGTCTTGCTCCCAGGAGCTCACATCCAGTTCCTGAACTTCTCCACCGAGCCCAACCACGACTTCATTGAAATCCGGAACGGCCCCTACGAGACCAGCCGCATGATGGGCAGATTCAGTGGAAGTGAGCTTCCAAGCACCCTGCTCTCCACGGCCCACGAGACCACTGTGTATTTCCACAGTGACCACTCCCAGAACCGGCCAGGATTCAAGCTGGAGTATCAAGGTAAGGACAAGGAAGGCCCCGTTTGCTCCTCTTTCTATCCCCATCTCTTACCCACAACTGCCCATCTTCCCAGCCTCCCATGTAGAGGAAGAAAGAACACAGGAGGGGCTGAGTGTGGGGGAACAGGAACATTCATGAGGCTTCTTTTCGGCGGCATGTCACTCTGGCCTAGCTGAGACTGTCTAACCCCATTTGACAAGCCTTCACCAGGGTGGCAGACCCAACAGCGCCCTTGGAAGTTCAACCTCTGTCCAGGCCCGATAGCCAGCATCTTTCCTTGAGCAAGTGACTCATCACAGGCACCCCCGAGTACCCAGCCAGCCACTTCCCTTGGGCCTGACAGGCCTGCTAACTCCCTCTGGGTCTCCCCTGTATGTCAAGTCCAATATGCTCAGCAAAGCTAGGACTTGTTAGAGGATTCCAGTCACAATCCCAGGGCAGCCCACTGAGCCTTCACAATGAGACAGGCCCATTCACCCCTACTGAAGGTTTTCATGCAACCACACTCACTTCAGCACTATCCTCCTGAAGCGAAATGCTGTGACAGACCCCACTCCTGGCATGCTTCCCATGGAGCAAGCCTCATCTACTCCAGCTCAGGCTTCATCTGTTTGAGATGCCATAACCTGTGGCTGTGCGAATTGCGCCCAACCTGTGCAGCTGTACGTAGCGGCCCTGGATAGGCCCACCTTCTCGCTCCAATGCTTCCCTAGTGTCACTGACCGAACCGTTTGTTCTAACCTATTCTCTCATATTCTTGCACTGATTTTTTTTTCGTATTTTTAGATTTTTTCCCAATACTAATACATGCTTATGAAAAATTAAAATATTACAGATGTTTTTGTGAGTGCATCATTGAAAGTCAGAATTCTCCCATAATACCATTTCCAACCCCACGTTATACAGAGTTATCAACTTTCAACAATTTGATTTCCCCATTTTTTGATACATATTTTGATATAACTATATTATTATATCGTAACCAAAATTGGATCGTATTATAAATGCTGTTTTGCAATTTTCTTTTTTAAAGTTAATTTTTAATTACACAATTTACAAACACACTCAACTCGTTAAGAAAAGGAAGGAAAGAAAGGAAGGAAGGAAAATAGGATGGAAGAAAGAAAAGAAGAAAAAGAAGGAAAGAAGGAAGGAAGGAAGGAAGGAAGGAAGGAAGGAAGGAAGGAAGGAAGGAATTAAAAACATTATAGATAAAGCCAAGCTCTTTGACTGAAGCCTCCAAACACAGTATTATTCCCCAGAAATAACCACTATTGTTTTAATGTGATCATTCCAGATCTTTTTCCATGTGTGGACGTACATGTTCTATGTACCTGTGAAAAATATGTCATGTTTCATGAATTTTTTGGTTGTGCTTTCTACATAAATGTAGAATATTCTGTATCCATAACATTCTGACATTTGTCTTTCTCACCCCATGTCAGAGATGTATGGTGGCGTGGATTTGGGCTTGTCATTAGGGAAGGCTTTAAAGGATGTTTCATGAGGTGAGCACAGTTGGACCAGTTATACGGGTGCTGCCTCCTCTGTGTGTCTTGAAGAGAAAGGAACTCCAATGAGTGTGACTGGGCTTGTCACCAGAGGTGAGGTCTCAGGAAGAGGAGCTGAGCCTCTCACACCAATGAAATGACAGGGAGAAGCTGTGCCTCTTACCCAAAGAGTGACATTTCATCTTCATTGATAGTAAGGCACTTGCCACACCCAGTGAAGCTATGCATGGGCTTGTCACAGAGGCCAACCTTAGCTAAGAGTGCCTGTGCCTGTTAAGTACACACAGCCTGGGTGGGTGGGGTGGGGCTGTCAAATGAGTCATGATGCCTCAGAGGGACACAGTCTGTCAAAAGAGAGACTCAGGCCCAAATACTTGATCAGTGTTCCTCTCTGGGACAGACGCATGCCTGTCTTGGGCTTCCCCTGTGTTTTAGGCATCTAGGGCTGCTGTAACAGAGTACCACAGACTGGGTGGCTTAAACAACAAGAATTTATTCTCTCACAGTTCTGGAAGCTGGAAGTTCCAAGATTAAGATCTCTTCTGAGGGCCATGAGGAAGAATATATTCCATGCCTCTCTGGTGATTTGCTGGCAATCTTTAGCAGGCTTTGGCTTGCTGAAGTATCACCCCAATCTCTGGCTTCATCTATGCATGGTTTGCTCCCTGTATGTCTGTCTCCAAAGTTCCCTTTTTCATAAAGACACCAGGCATATTGGATTAGGGCCCATCCTGATGACCTCATTGTCATTTAGGTGAAGATAGATAAAAGCCTTACCTCCAAATAAAGTCATATTTTGAGGTACTGGGGGTTAGTACTCCAACACATGAATTTGGGGAGGACAAAATTCAACCCATAGCGCCCTCTGACAGGCGCAGTACTCTCCCTGAGGCTTCTCCTCTCTATTAATGCAAGTACTGATGATGCCACCATTGTGACAGGGACAGCTGCTCTGGGGCCGACCCACAGACACTGTGCCTTTGCCCCTATGATAGGTACAGCCCTACCCATTGAGCCCCTATGATGGAACCAGACACTCTTGCCGTGTTCCCGATGTGATAAGCTCACTTGTCCTTATAAAAGCTGTTACTCTGAGTCTCTCAGATTCCATCAACTCCTTCCCATGGAAGAGACCTGCCCACTCCCACAGAGCCCTGGTCCCGAGCTGAGGCCCTCCCAAACCCCTCCCAAGGCTCCCCTGCACAAGGGCCCTGTGTTGAGGCTTCTGGGCCAGTAGGCCAACATTCTGGGTTAGCATTTGTCTCTGCGATGTGCCCATTATGCAACCTGAGGCTTCACAGGTTCAGCGGCCAGTTCTCTGAGGATTTCCCCGCCAGGTGGGGGACAGAATAGGAGCAGGGAATAAGTGGGGTTCTAAGTAGGTTTTCAGAGGCCCAACACCTCCACTAGGAATTGGCCCAACTGTGTGAGAAGTGCAGCGTCCACTGGGGTTTCCACTCTGTGGTGGACCCACCTTCTCCCACCTGTGTTTTACCGTCACGACTTGCCTGGATGTTCCTCTGAAGGCTCCCCTTGGGTCACAGGCCCAGCTACTCCCTCCGTGCCTGCCCATGTGCCACAGTCCTGATGACACCTGTGGAACCACTCTTGGTATCAAGGCAGCTGCTCCCCTTCAGACTTGACCTCAGCTTCCATTAACACTTCTTGGTTGTGATGGCCCCAAACTCTTGGACTAGGTTGTCTCTGTGCCAGAGGCCCAAGTCCTCCGACCAGGGCCTTACAATATGTCACAGACCCGAATAATTCTTCCTGCCCCATAGCACACATCCTCCAATGACACTTCCCTTAGCTCTACGGAGTTGTATCCTGTGAGCGAGCTCTAACCACTCTCCTCAGGGTTTTCCTTCATGGAAAGACCTGCTTCCTGGAAGAGCCACCTGTCACTGTAGAGGCTGTTGCTTACTTTTTCTTACTTTTTCTCAAAATTCCTTCTACTAGATACTCTGAATTTCCTGAGCTGGGTTTTTCCTTTCCCTTCTTCAGATAAATACTCCCCCCAAAATTTTAGTAACAGCATAAGCTACTCCCACACAGGTCTCCCAGTCTGACAGGTTTAACTTACTCCATTAAAACTTCTCGAGAAGTTTTGTCTATAAAGAACTTAGCAAAATGATAAAACATCGGATTATTCCCAAATGTTAGACATCATGATTATTAATATTTTGGAGTATAGCACTTTGTTTGAAATCGTTCATATGTATAACACAGCCACCGTCACAGAGGAGGTGCTTAGGAAATGTCAAGTTCGTGATCACTGCTGTTTATATTGTTATTACGTGTGACAAATGTGTCCGCTTCCATGGAGCATTCATTTGGCTTCCACAGCTTCAGCTGAGAACTCAAATGTTCCTTCTGCTCCGGCCACCGATTTCCTGTATAGGATGGGCCAGGTTACTGCCACAAAGGCTATTCTTTGTCCTGCGTATTTAATTAATCAAAGGCCATGCTCAGCAAATCCCGCAGTGACCTCTCCCTGTTGGGCAGGCCTCAGCTACTTCCATTAAGGTGTCTGTTTTGAGTCAGGCCCACCCATTCTCATGGAAGCAGCTTTCTGGCTCCTCTCCTTGCCACAGATTTGGCTTCCTCCCACCAAGTCAGTTCCTTCTTGGTAGGTTTCTCTGAGTTGGAAAGACCCCACTCAAGTCTTCACTGCTTCCTATGTTTGTGATCTTGATCATTATCATAGTTAAATGAAAGAACTAGGTCAACACCCGGCCCCAAGGAGGTGCTGAAAAATAATGATTCAATCTAGTGTTGTCTTCCTTGAGCCTCTTTTTCCCATTAAAAAAATAATAATAGACAATATTAATTGTCTATTATTACCATGTGCCAGTACAGTGCAAAGAGTTATGTATATAATCTCCTACTTAATCCTCACAAGAACCATTTTCTAAATAAGAAAACTGAGGCACAGAGAAGTTAAATAAGGTGCCCAAAGCCAGCAACTAACAAATGACGAAGTTCTGCCTCAGTCCAAATCTCGTTGCTTCACCACTATGTGACCCTCTGCTGTTCCTGTGTTCTGACTGGGGAGAAAATGCCAAGAAAGAATAAAGTAACCTTCTCTCCTGACTTTTTCCAGCCTATGAACTTCAAGAGTGCCCAGACCCAGAGCCCTTTGCCAATGGCATTGTGAGGGGAGCTGGCTACAATGTTGGACAATCAGTGACTTTCGAGTGCCTCCCAGGATATCAACTAATGGGCCACCCTGTCCTCACATGTCAACATGGCACCAACCGGAACTGGGACCACCCCCTGCCCAAGTGTGAAGGTATGTCCCTCTTTCATCCCTTGGGATTTTTCTTAGGGAGACTGGTCCAGAGTAGTCCTGTATCTACCTGCGTGCTCCATGGGATCATCTATGCTGGGAGATCCTGGCAAACCTTATCCTTTTCATACGGAGGGGACCCAGCCTATCCAGGGAAGGATCCTGGGGACAGAACTCTGGGCCAGTGCTAGGGAGGACCTGAAGGAGATGTGGGCCATAGCCAAGGGAAAACATACTCAGCCCCTGGGAATGTCCAACCTGATGGGCTGGATATCCCCAGTCAGAAGGGAAGACTCTGCCTGAGGGTGTAGGAGCCAGTGGTGTGCTGACAGGTAGGAAGGTAGGGTTAACCATGGCATCTTCGCAAATGGAAAGAGAATAATACCTCTTTTTAAGAAACTTCTTGTTTCTCTCTTCACCTGCCCCCCTCCTAATCCTCATTCTCCTACATATGTCTAGAGATATCCGAGTTAATAACATCAGGGAGCTAGAGGTGACACTCTCCTGGGTCTTCATTAATCAGAACCAGGATGGAAGAAGACGTAGAGGTTGTGCTGTCTGTACCCTCATCTGCTCACCTCAGTTCTGTTTTCCTTCATTTTTCACTCTTGAGGCTCAGCATTTTCCTGGACAATCCTCATTCTCCTACATGTGCCTAGAGATATCCGAGTTAATAATATCAGGGAGCTAGAGGCGACACTCTCCTGGGTCTTCATTAATCAGAACCAGGATGGAAGAAGACGTAGAGGTTGTGCTGTCTGTACCCTCATCTGCTCACCTCAGTTCTGTTTTCCTTCATTTTTCACTCTTGAGGCTCAGCATTTTCCTGGAGAAGAAGCTGGGATTTGTCTTGAAAGGGGAAAGCTTGGCAGGAGGACAGCATTCTAGGAGAAAGTGCCCCATCTCCAGGATCAGATCATCCCGGGCTCCTGCCTTGAACCAATTCCCCTCTCTGAGCTTCAGTTTCTTCTTTCGTACAATGGGACTTCTCGTCTCTACTTTGTAAGAGCTGAGAGGATTTCAAGATGGCTCATGTAATGTGCCCAGCACAGTAACTGGCTCACAGACAACGTGCTTGAAGTAGTCACTCTCCATAGAAAAACAGGCCTTGTTTGTAGAACTGAGCTATGCTGACGTCAAACTATAAGGCCATAATTTCTAAAACTATTAAACCCCCAGTTTGTTTTTCAGATTTTCAGAACTATCCCCATGCTTAACCAGTCCATTATTCTGGAATTGTTGGTTGATCTCGTGCTCTGTGACAAGCTTCATTGTGGACTTTCGTCCTTTTATTCCTTATTACATCTTGTTCTTTTTATGGCATCACAAGAGAGAGAAAAGCACAGTGCTCAGTCAGACATCTTAAGCCAGAAGCCCTTCTGCCTCCTGAGAAAGTGTTCCCCTTGACCTTTTTGATGCCTTGTTCTCTTACTTTTCCAATTATCTTTCCATCTGTGTCACCTCTTCGGTCATTTTTTTCTGCTCTTATCCTGAGGCATCTAAATCCCAACATATTCAAAATTAAACTCATCATCTTTCTGCCATTAAACTGGAATCCTCATCCACTGAAGGGCACCTCTAGTCACCTGGTTACTCAGCCCTTAATTTGGGTACCTTCCCTCTCACTCATCTACCATATTCACCAAGTCTCCCTAATTCTACATCCTAATTATCTTTTAAATGGATCCCCTTCTCTCTGTCTACTGCCTCCACCTTAATCTAGGCTGCCATTTAGATGAAGCTCCTCACTGGTCTCTCAGCCTTCAGGTTTGCACTCCTCAGTCCATCTTCACAGTGTAGCTCGAGCGAGTCTTCAAAACCATCAACATACCCCTGACATTCAACTTACTCAAGTTAGCAAGGCATTCCCATCTCCCTTGGGGTAAACCCCTTAATGTAGCACACCATGTCCCTCAGGGCCTGCTTACCACTTACTCCCTGGTATTCTCCACTCACACGGACTTTACGCTCCAGCTAAGCTGAAATACTTTCAGTTTTACCACGTGCCATGTTCTCTTACCTCCGGTTCTTAGTGCTTGCTGTTCCTTCCTCATAGAACTTTGCTCTCCTCTCTTGTCTTAAGCCTGCTTAGCCCATGTCATCCTTCAGATCTGAGTCTAAATGTGAATTCTACCAGGAATCCTTTGCTACCCTCCCAAAGCCAGAGGAGGGGCTCCCCTAACTGTTCCAAAGCCAGAAGAAGGCTCCCATAACTGTTCCTGCAGTGTTTCACACTGGCAGCATGTGCCCTTGTGCTGTAGATGCTGGTGTATGTGGCTATACCCCACTGGACCATGAGTGCCATGGAACAGAACTATGTGCTTTTATGTCCTTGCTCCCTTTTGTTTCTTCCCAGCAAAGGTACTATACCCTGACTCTAACATCTGCCCCCCACTTCTAGGAAAAGAGAGAGGAGAGCTTTAGTGTGTCCTTCCTTCTAGGCAGGTCTTGTCCATGAGAAGGAGGGTGGCCGGGGGCTAAGGCAGGCTGTTTGAAGCACCGGCACGGAAAATCAGGGCTGTATGGGGAGTGGTGTGTTCGGACTGGTGGGGAAAGCCAGTCTCAGCCATCCTCAGCCCTATCTCCTCTCCCCATGCTGCCCCATCTCCTTGAACAGGATGATTTGTGATGGGAGCTGGAACTTCATTAGGAAGTCATCTGAATTCTCAGGTGGAAGGTGATCTCCAGCACTCATCTGTGTTTGTGGTCCCTCCCTGCAGTCCCCTGCGGTGGGAATATCACCTCATCCAATGGCACAGTGTACTCCCCTGGCTTCCCCAGTCCATACTCCAGTTCCCAGGACTGTGTCTGGCTGATCACCGTGCCCATTGGTCATGGCATCCGCCTCAACCTCAGCCTGCTGCAGACAGAGCCCTCCGGAGACTTCATCACCGTCTGGTAGGGCAACTGCTACGTTGACAACCAATAAGAAAGGGGCATTAGTTGGGCTCTAAACTGGATTATTCACCTATTTGTTCAGAACACCAAGAGCTGAATGGATTTACATGGCCATCAGCCTCCTGGGTTTCAAAAAAACACAGCGCAATGAGGGTTTAGCTTCAGTTAGCCCTTATGACTCCTTGAAGGGCAAGTAATGGAGTGAAGTGGTTCCCACCTTGGAGTCCTGCTAGTGGTCCATGAAAATACCAATGGGTGTGTGAATGGGAATGGGCGTAGATATGCTGACTTTCTCAATATTTCTAGAGTCTTTACCAAAATTCTGCATTTACCTAAGATAAGCTGCCCAGACTAATAAAAGAGCTTAGGGTGGAATTTCATGTTGTCCCACTGGTCATCTCATGCTGGGTCAGCACTGTCCCACAGAATTTTCTGCAGTGATGGGAATGTTCTACATCTGTGTTGTCCAATAGTTATAAGTGGCTATTGAGTACTTGAATGTGACTAGAGTGACTGAGAAGCTGATTTTTAAACTTCATTTAACTTTAACTAATTTAAATATAAATAGCCATGTGTGGCCTCATGGTTACAAAATTGGATAGCTCAGCTTTGTGTTATAGAGTTAGAATATCTTGAGTTAATTTTAAAATAAGAATACAAATTATTAGTTGATAAGTGTAGTTACCTAGACAGATTTTTCCAAACCACTTGATCTTTGAACAAAGATATAATTTTAAGTTTCCTTTGTTTGAGGGTTACTGCCATTCTGGGAACTGATAGAAGATAGTGGGAATCTTTTTCCCAAATTCCCAGGGATGGATAACTATGACCAGACTGCCCTGGATTAATTTCCAGCTTAATTTCTAGGCAATGGCTAAGAACAGATGGAAGGGACTAGATAAATTTCCAGGGAAGAAATCCTTTGCCCAGAAAGGTAACATGGTTCTGTCTCTTGGCCTGGGGAACAAGGAAGTGGGGCTGGCATAGACAGCAGCATGAGCTTCCTGCACCTCTTCCATTACTCTGTCCCAGTCCTGCCTTGGACAGACAGAAACCTGCGGTAAGACCCGCAACCCTGCTCCATGGCTCCTGCTTCTTGGGTGGGACTGTTGCCCCAGGGACCTATTAAGGAGGGCTGGGCTGATGAAGAATCAGGTGAATGAGAATTCAGTGTGGGCTTCACCAACACTTAACTTTATTGGGAGACAAAGTTCGGAGAGATAGAAGAGAAGTATTTAAAACAGTGTTGGGTGCAAGAAAAGTCACAGCCACCTGCTCCAGGTCTCTCTTAAGACCACTGACGGTGCGCACCCAGTAGAGCAGGCAGCCATAGTGGCTTATGACATGCCAGGACCTTCTTTCCTATTGCAGGGATGGGCCACAGCCGTCAGTTCCACGACTCTGGGTTTTCACCAGGAGTTTGGCCAAGAAAATAGTGCATAGCTCAACCAACCAGGTCCTGCTCAAGTTTCACCGTGATGCAGCCACAGGTGGGATCTTCGCCATAGCCTTCTCTGGTCAGTATGGAAGCATGGCCTGGTAAGAAGGGCCAGGCTCTCAAGTCCAGGCTGGACTTGACCCCTGGCTCCATCATTCCCAGTCATGTGACTTTGAATGAGTTACATAGCTTCTCGATCTCAGTGTCCTCATAGTTATGAGAATTAAATGTGTTAGCCTATATGAAATCTCCCAGCAGAGGGGTCCATAAATGTAAGTTTTCCTCTTCTTCCACACTATCAAGACAGAGAGGCACATGGTGTTGCTCCTTAGTGCCACGTCCAAGCTGAAGCAGCAGAGTGAAGCTTCTCATCTCACTCATTTACATCAACTCACTGGCTGGTTAACCATTTACCTGTGCCCCAGCTTGTCCCTTAGTACCTTCTAGATGGTTGTCCCACTCAAAGAAATCCAGGACCTCTGTTGACTGCACAGGAAGTACTGTGCACAAATGAATTCATGGAAAATTTAAACAGGAGGGGCAGGAATGATTCAGGGTGGGTTTGTCCTTATCAACAGACAATTTTTTTCTAAGAGTCCAAAGTTATGGACCTGGATATTTCCTAGGTTTTGTTACAGTGAACATGGCTTAGGAAAACTTGTAGAAAGTTCTCAGTGAGCTTGTATTCAATAATCCTCCATGTTTGTAATTTTCAGAGCATTACATATATTTGAACTGGAAATCAGGAAAGCTTGACTTTATTACTAGCTCCACCTCAAGCCAGGCATGTGACCTTGTGTAGGTCTCTCCCCAACTTGAGACCTCAGTTTCTTCACTTGTAGAATGAGGAGCTTAGAGTTTGGGACTGGTAAGAATTCTGTGAGGTAATAAAGGAGATATCATTAGCCTCACTTTACAAGTGAAGAAATGACAACCAAGGAAGGCTCGAGGACTTGCCCAAAACCACAGACTTGGATCCCAGTTCTGTTCTCAGTTCTTTCAGTTCTGCACTGTCTGCTCTGGTGGACCTATACCGTGTTATTGCATCACTCATGCATTTACAGAAACTTGAACACAGTCAGCCCTCAGCCCTTGGAAGAGGTAGTGACAGAGAGGCAGAAAAAAAAAAACATAGAGAAATAATCATGGTGGCATAGGCTACCATCGCCACGGCATAGCTCTAGTCACCATTCCCAGGGAGCCGTGGCCCAAGGTGAGTGTATTGTGCTTTCTACATACCTTTTTCCATGTAAATGAACCACACAGTTCCTTGAAGAAATGGCTGATTCCAGGACTGGGAGAGAGAAAGTACAAGATGAGCCTGAAACATTTTATGGCGGAAAGTAAAGAAGTACTCAAGGAATGTTGGAGACATAGTCAGGCTTGAAGGGCTCCCACTGACCGTAATGGGGATAATTTGAATATCAAAATAATTAATATGGGTAAGAAATAGTAACCTGTTGAGTAAACCAGGACACCATGTATAGTCATTCAGGTATTCACTGATTAATTAATTAAAGATTCATGAGGAACCGATTATTTACATAGCCTCAAACTACCTCCTCATACAATGACCACAAAGGAAAAAAAAGAATAGCTTTCCAGTGGAGAAGCCTGGAGGACATCACCTTAATCAAATGACCCCATTGAGCATCATCAATAATGAGACAAATTGAAATCACACCTCAGCTGGTAGGATGCAGTGAGAAGAACCCAGCATCACATCTGTGATAGTCTTGTTGAAGATGCATGACCTGAATCTAATCATGAGGAATGAGACAAACTTAAATTGAAAGTAACATAATATAGTATTACATACTGTAAATTAACTGACATATATTCTTTCAAAGTATAAAAGTCATGAAGGTGCAGGAAAGAATTTGGAACTGTTCCAGACTAAAGGAGACTAAAGAGAAGTGACAATGACATGCAATGTATGATCCTGAACTGGATCCTTTTGCTGTTAAGAACTTTATTGGGACAAATGGCAAAACTTGAATAGAATGTAAAAATTAGATGGCAGTAACATATTGGTATTAATTTTCTCCTTTTGATGCTTGTATTGTGGTTATGTGGGAAATGTACTTGTTTGTAGAAAACACGCTAAAATATTCTGGTTATGGGGCATCATGTTGGCATTTACTTTCAATTGGTTTGTGAAAAACTGTACTGTACTTCCATCTTTTCCTATAGCTTTGTGATTGCCTCAAAATAAAAATTGTACTTACAAGGGGAGCTAGATAATAAAAAATAAAAAGAATTGAAAGAAATGCAATACCACACTTTAACTTGGCATAAGAATCAGCAAAGAGCAGAAACAACACTGTAGAAAAGTAGTTCAGAAATGTGGAGGACAAGCTTGAAAAGCTGGACACGAAGAGAGAAAAGGGCAAAGACTTGAAAATGGTGAGGAAGAATATAGTAAATAAAGAGATCCATTGAACAAAGAACCAACATGCTGAGAAAAAAAAGTATTTATGGAAAAAAGAACCAGATGTATGGAATAGAGATTTTGAAATAAAACTCTTCTGAGATGAAGAAAAACCTATGCATATAGAATAAAAGAGCCCACTTCATACTAGGAGAAATTTTTTAGAAAGCCTGACAGGTTTTTCAAGTTATAAGTATGAAGCATAGAGAAAATCTACTAGAATCCAGGCTGAGAAAGTTAACTGCAAGGAGCCCAAATCAACAATTCTCAGATTATTTTTGGCATTTAATTCCAGAAAATAAAGGAAGCGTTTTTATAGATGTTTAAGGAAAAAATCGTTGAGAAGACAAGAGACACGTGAAGGCAAGAGACAGTCATTTGCCAATATCCAAGAGCTTAAAATTAGTACATTCCATAGTCTCCGTTTGAATTGTTATGCAAGCAGGTAGCCACCTAAGGGATGAGAGAATAACCCAATACAGAGAAGACGCATAAAAGATAAGATAAAAACGAGAAGCACTGACTAGCTAATCACAGATTTAAGTCTACGAATAATTGAAAATATAGATTCGGAATGCAAATACAATAATTCTTGAAAGATTAAAAATAATTCTATGTTAACAAATGCCCAAGTAGTTAGAAGAGTTTGAGAAAGGAAATGTCCTTATCTTTCATGGGGGAGGAATCAATAGATATTATTTCATGATTGACTTTGATAATCAAGAAAATAAGGGTTGCAAGCATACTTTTTAGTCATTAATAAATTAAAAATAGGTTATAGTACTTCTAAATCGCTAAAAGAAAAATATTAAGCAAAATATAGTCCATATATAAAAAGCAGAAAACAAAGGGAACTGTATAAGAACAAAGATAAAGCACAGAATAAAACAGTAAAATAATATTGTTAATTATTGACAAATACAAAATTATTAAAGCCCAATTTTCTATTAAAAATACAAAACTCTTAGATTAGGCTAAATAAAATCTAACTGTATTTTCCATTCCAGGAACGCAACTAAGACAAAGTGACAGTTTAAAACTATAAGGGCGGGTGGTGATATATTTGGAAACACAAACAACAATAACAATCAAAAAAAAAAAGTAGAATTCAAAGCAAAATGCATTAAATGGAAAAATTGGATTCCTTTATATTAGAGAATAATCTGTAATTATCATTTTTTAAGTGATAATCTTATTGGGAAGTTTGCAAGAGATGGCCACTTCGTGGTGAGCAGTTTGAGAATATACATCAAAAGCTTAACACAATATGAATAACTACATTCAAAACATTTCAGGTGTCTGTACAGCTCATAATAATCTCCTTAACTGCCCCTGTCACATGGGTACTTGTCAGGTATGTTTGTACATCATGACACCCCACCACATACACCCCAACCCCAGCCACAGTCACTTCAATCAAAGGTGGGCGTCTGGCCTGACTCCCGCAGAGATAATCAGATTTTCTTTCTTGGGAACTTGAAATCGAACCTAAGAGATCCTGTTTCTACCTGGACTCGTCTGCTGAAAAGAGAAGGTACAAATCCAAGGGCAAAGGATTGCCCATCTTCTACTGTTCATGTAGATTGAGAAATAGAGGTCCTATGTGCAGACGAGAATGACTGAAACATGTGGGAAAGGTTCCTGGGTTCCTCTCCCTTTATGAAGTCTGGCTACAAATCCACCCTCAGTTCTTGTCTCTGAGGGGCTTTTTTTTGCTTTTTCTACCCCGAATTGATTTGTGTTACTTAAGCCCAAATTTCCTGATGAACAATGATCTAGAATCTGCCAGTCCTACTTCTCAGAATTCTACAAAGATACAAATATAAAGATAATCCTTGAAATATTATTAGGAACAGTTAAATTAGAAACAATCCAAATGTAAAACAATAGGAGATTGGTGTGCAAATTATGAGTTACACATATACAGAAATTGAGAAAAATATAGTCATTAAAAATCATTCACATAGAATACAATTCATTGATTAAGGGAAATGTTTATTTTATCTTGTAAAGTGAACAAAAGCAATTAATTTGGAAGGGCTCACATGATAGTATAACCAAAGGATGAGTAATTATAGACTCCTAACCTAGACTATAGCCACCACTGCTCGTGAGGTTCTTGAGAGAGGAGAGATACAAGGAACAATGGCCAAAAGGGGCGAGGAGGGGCATTTTATTAATATTATCTGGGCTTGGACTGCAAATGCAGATGCAGAGCTCTGAGTCATCTGAGAAGTAGAACTGGCCCATGTGAACCACATTAAAAGCTTCAAATTAAAGGCCACCCCAACACAGCCATCAGCACGAGAAAACATATCCAAAGAGTCAGAAACAATACAATGTGCAGTGATCTACAAGAGTTATTTCTGAGCTGACTGCTGCTTGTCATAAGGCACTGAGCCCTCCCCGCCCGTTAGCATGTTTACATGTACTAGAGTCTGGCTAAGTGGTACCAATGCTTCCCCACTAAGTAGAGTGGGGGGTAGGAACAAAATGAAGTGGAGGAGATTTCAATGTCTCCCCTCCCTTAGAGTTCCGTAGCAATAACATGGTAGATACAGTGTGAGTTTGGAAGGAGCGGGGATTCTCTGTAAAAGATCAAAGGTCACAAACAACAAAATGCTAACAATGGTTACTCTCCGGTGGTG